CAGGGGAATCAACGTCTCAACGGCCTCATCCAAATGTTCCCGTGGTGTGATCCCTGCTCCCATGATGGCTGCAAGTCCGTCTCCATCCTTTTTTACTTTCCGGATTTCGATATCCCTATGTGAGAGTATGACTCCCCAAGGAACGCACCTCCCGTCTACCGACTTAGACTGTAATACCCATTTCAAAACGGAATATCTTGTGTAGATGATCAGCCGTCGGCTTTCCAGAATAGTCCGAAATACTTGTAAAGCCCGCAGGATAGCGATGACCTCTTTCTCGGCAATGTAATACCGGAGTTCAGCATCGTTCAAAACGCGTCCCGTGTACCGAACAGGTTGTATCTTTCCGTCGTATTCTTGCCCTACGACTGCACAAGCAGCCCAACGGTTCGCGTGTGGAATGATCACAAACGGCTTTTGGATGTGCGGATGTCTCAACATTGGCGTCGCGACAATTTTCCTCGTAAGCAGTTCGAATGACTCATGAGCTCGCGAGAGGTCTCGTCCCTGACGTATCTGGTCTTCGGAAAGTTCATAGAGGACTGCTGTCACTACCGGAAAGTCTTCAATGAACTTATGGTAGTAGTTCAGACTTACAAGAAATGATAGTACATCTTTGTGAGATCTAGGAACGGTAGATCCATAACACCCTTCGCAACTTTTGGGGTCGCTCGGATACCTTCTGCACTAATCTCGTGTGACAGATAAGGGATCGATCGTTTTCCAAACTCGCTCTTCGGTAAACTCACTGATATATTCCAGTACGGTAAGCGATAGATCAAGGTGTCCAGATCCTCACAAAGTTGGTCCCATGTTTTCGCACCGTGAGCGATGTCATCAATGTAAGAACGGCGATTTAGCACTGGACCGATGTGTTAAGGCATAGGAATATTCCTTTGGAAAACCATCATCAGATCCGTGAGTCCCTTCACCTCGTCGTTCAGACAGCTCCTTTCAAATTCTTGGTTATCTGTAGGATTCAGACCTAGGAAATCCAAGACGTCTTGATCGACCTCTGCTTCCACTTCTGAAGACAGTCTCACAAACCCCCATAGACAATTGTTGATAACCGATTGGTATACCAGTGGTGCGTTCTTGAGTCCGAATGGCATGCGGGTCCATTGGATATGTCCGAACGAACAGACGAACGCCGATATCAGCTTCGCTCTTTCAGACATCTTGATCGCCCAAAGCCGCTCGCCATATCCAACTCATAAACCACATGGCATCCTCGAACCCAACCAGTAGATCATCTATTAGCGGTAGAGGGTAATTGGACAAAGTGATGAATCCATTGACAATTCGGTTGTCGAGACACATTCGAATATCCACACCATTTTTTGAGGACAATCACAATAGGTGATGCCCACGGTGATTCTGAGTGTTTGATGAGTCGTGTTTCCAAGAGTTTCTTCAGCAATTCATACACTTTGATCGATAAGTGTGATGCCACAGACCGGGGACGTTGGGCAACGGGGTTCGCCTCCCCAACATCCAAATCACAGGTGACGCCTCGCGTCGGAGCCGGAACCGCATTCCCATTTCCCAAAAAGGCTCTATGATACTTCAGGATTGTTCGCAATCTTCGTTCCTCTTCTGGAGTACTCGTCCCAGGTTCACCGACGTCAGCTGAATCGATATCACATCTCGGAGATAATTCTTCGATATCCGGCAGCAACGCAAGTTGTTCTCGGAGTTGTGATAATGTATCGCTCCCTTCATGAATATACACTGCAGGTTCGAGGTCTAGTTCCTCAGCACTTATTCGCATGACTCGCTCGTACTCTAGCTCAAGCTGCTGAACTGGCGTGCAAGTCATCACTGACACTGGCAAGTCCGTAAAGACATCATCTTATGTTTCCACTTTTGGAATATCTTCCAAGCTAACTTCCGGAAAACCATCTTCGACA